ACTTACTGTGAAGATAGTTTGCAAAACAAAATAGAGAAAACGGGAAGCAAGTAAGAATTGAGTTCTAAAATCCACAATTCAGAACTGAAATGAAAGTGCATGGATGGGATAAAACAAAGAGGCATTACAAAAGTTGATATGGTTTAAGCATATCACATTTGTTTGTATTTAAGGAAGGAGATTAAAAGAAGATTTAAGTCTCAAGAACTCAGAGAACTGCTATATCATTTTAGAATGGAAAAAATTGTTAAGGAGAGCTAGTATGGAAGAAGTTGTTGGGTTTAGTTTTAATAATTTTATGTATGAGGTAATGGTGAGCTGCCTCAGTAGGAATATACAAAGATGAATGGAAATACTTTGAGTAATATGGCTATAAATTAAGAGGGTTTTCTAATTATAGCAAAGGAGTTAAAGCCATGAGTGTGTTAGGTCATTAAAGAGGGAGGAAAGATCTGAGAGCCAAGATTTAGCCAAAAGGGATCTCCTGTTAGTGGGGCAGAGAGCAAATAATCAGGGGCACATATCACAGAAGTTAAAAGAGAAGATATCAAAGGGCTAGTGTTCAGTAAGAATTTTAGTAGAAGCTGCAAAATGATTAAGTGATAGTCTTAAGGAAAAAAGACAATGGATTCAAAAAGACTTTTACAGAGATGGAAGCTTAGGGTTAAGGAGGTATTAGGTGTAGGGAAATAGGAGGATTATCATTTTAGATGCTTGGCCAGAAATTGAAAAAGAGCGAGAGGACAGGCAAAAAGAGCATCAGAATAACTCAAATATGTGTTAGATGCCCACTAGGTTTAAAGCCTCATGCTAGAATATTTGTAGGAGACACATGATAAATCAGAAACTGTATTTGCATGTACCCATTTACAATTAATAGAAGAGGGAAGATAGGTGCATTAATTTATAATGAGGAAGCCGGGCTATCATAGGTATGACCTGAAGCTCTTAGTGCTATAGATATGTAAAAAAGAGAGGGGCACCTGAGTCATTCAAGTACTGACTGGTTAAGCTTCTCTAAAAAGACAGCTAAAAATACAGTGCCTTGAATCAGAAAGCATTTATTCCCCTTACTCCACAGTCTATAGGAGTGCAGTCCAAGGATGGTGGGGCACCTCTGTCATCCTCAACATGGGGCTTCTAATAGTCTGTAGTCATCACCATTTCCTAAAAGATGGAGAAGGAAAAGAGAGTACAGGGCAAATATCCTTAAAGAGAATTCTCAGAAGTTGTACACATCACTTCTGTTCATATTGCAGAGGTTCAAATTTAGTTGCATTCAAGGGAAGAAGGAAAGTATAGTTTTATTAGCTGGGCAGCAATGTTCCTAGTAAAACTCAGGCAAGACAATGAATACTGAGGGTTAGTCACTGGTCCCTACCTTAGATATTTACTCCAAGAAAAGATCAGGAAAACTACAACTAGATGGTAGTATTGGAATTCAGTTGGAATTGAGGGGTGGGTGTAGGATTTGAATAGTGGAGAGG